CAATCAAAAGTCGACTGGGAAGAGACATGAGCCCCAGAAATACAAGTATTGATTCTCTAGATTTTTAACTCTTGTGTCACTGTAAAGATCACAAGGCTTTCGAAGAAGTAAACATAAAATTCATCTATACTTTTGCTGGAATCCAAATCACGAATTTCTCATTTGCAAGCTGAACTTGCTAATCATTTCCACCATCACAGCACTCATATATGGGTGAGGTAGTTCCATATAATATGTAAATATGTTTTTTCCCTAACTTTTAACCGTTCCTGAAATGCGTAATATTAAACAAATACAATTACTAAATTCTGCTGAAGTTATTTAAACGTTTGAATGTTATGCTAAATTGCAAAATTTTAAATCTAAAATTAAAAATAATATTAAAGGCTGTGATAAGAAGACTAATCTAATGCTTATGTATTGAAAATCACTAGTGTAATAGTAAACATTTTGAGCTAAGGGTGATTTAAAAATATCTGGCAAACTTATAAAATCACTCGAGAGGACTGACGGTAAGCAGATTTTGTGAGAGAGTATGTATGCGGAAAATGCATGTCCAAATGATGGCACGTAAGGACAAACAAAATGTCAGTAAAAAAAAAACAGGTAAAGTTTAAAGAAACATTTTAATGATTCATCTTTCCGCAACAGATGCTCGATAGGGCAGCCACAAACAGCGATACAAGCTCCAAAGCGGTTGTGCAAGGTTTCTTCATTTAACTCAGTGGGAAGTTCGTACATCATGTTTTTAAAAAATATTAATACATGTTAAATCTGGCCGATCGTAATAAGAAATCTATTGCATTTACAGAAACATTTTATTTTCGTTATTATACATGCAACAATACAACATAAACATTTCATTCTTATAATTTTATGTTGTCAAATTCAGAAATTAAATCAAATTCCGCGAGTAGGAAAAATCGTCACTCACTTCACAAGCAGCATCGTTTATCGAGGAGTCAGAACCACTTTCCCACGCTGGTGAACATTAAGAGGTATGATCAGCTGCATCTGTCGAATCACTTATTTACGATCAACACGCAGTACTCATGATCTGCATTTTCCTTTGCGGCTTTCGATTACACTATACTTTCCCACATTTGCCAAATATCTACGTTCTCCTGCGAAATAGCAGATCTCCTTTCCTAATGAGAACTAATTTCTGAATATTGCGTATTTGATAACTGCGTAGTTCCAGAAAATATTCTTTAGACCATCTCTTCCAAAATATATCCAACAAATCTTGCTGCATCCTATACTTTTTTGTAAGTTTCGCATTTTCGGATTCAGGTTTCGTTGGCAATGTTGACAGTTTTTGACCGGTTAGAAAATGACCAGGAGTCAAGATTTCTTTCCAGTTCGTCATTTACTCGCTCCTGCAATAACGGTCTGTTGTCCAGAGCGGTTTCTACCCCTACTAATGCAGTATAGAGTACTTCGTCCTCCAGCAACGAACGACCAAGCGATTTCCTAAGACATTATATGGTATTTCTCCCGCCTTCGTGGTGTAGTGGTTCTGCACGCTGGGCAGAACCACTACACGGTATCCAGAGGTCCGTGGTTCGATTTCCGGGATTCGAAGACGGTTGCTAATTTTTCATCTTGCCTGCTTCCAAAAAAAAAAATGCCTAATGTCTCTACAATGGCGATCGAACTAAAAAGGTGTTGGATGAGGTTTCTCCACACCCAGGATTTGGCATTTGGGTCCCCTAAAAACCCCAGGCGCCCTTTAAAAAGGGGAGTATATAAGGTATTTCTCCCACTTTCCTAGCGTGCCTTCGTGGTGTAGTGGTTCTGCACGCTCGGCCGGTATTCCATGCGACATGTGACGGAGGACGTGCGCACCACCCCTCTACCAATACGGTTAATTGGTATAGCGCCACGTCCACCTTTATCTAGATAACCATACGTAGTCATTGTGCTAATACACTAATACGTAAACATAGATACAAATTTGACACTTAATACAGTGGCGTTAAAGCTAATTAATGTTAGACTTTAGACAATGCATTGCCATGTTACAAGGTGTATGCAAAAGCATGGATACGGTAGCATATATACATAACGTGTGTACTCATATGTTGAGTACACTATGATCCTTTGAAGCATTATCATTAGATACAGAAGACATGTACATACTGAAATATTAGGTGCGCAATGTTATGCTAGAATAAGTAATTAATACAGTGAATTAAAAGTTAGACCCTAGATTAGTACATTTTAGTACAGTGTCTTGCTACTGGATTATTTGTGCTGTTTCCTAAGTACATTAACCTATGTACAAAGATATTAAAACACGTGTATTAGGAACATAGTAATCAGTGGGTATCCAAGCGTTAGGTAAGTGCTACTTTAACATACATTAACAATAGGTACTTAATACAGTGCTGAATAGATAATTGGTGCAATTAATTTTAGAGTGGGACCCTAGTTTGATTTCTGCGAAACGGTGCCGTGTTACAGGATAAATTGTGCAGATGCATAGTTACATTATGATATATACAGAACATAAATACAGATATACAGACATTTGGGGTACAGATACATTAGGTACATGATTATTCAGTGCGTAATAGATGTATATTAACTATACAGTGCCAAGATTTGTGATAATACTAGTAGATACATGGATACAATTACATATAAACAAGGACATAAAGACACAATTACATACAGACAAAAGCGTATATACCTTACTTTGGTACATAATATTCATTGGTGACATAAACATTTGGTACTTACTTCACATACTTACAAAAACTCTAGATCCATAAAATAATGTTATAACTAGTAATGGGTGCCTATTAAATTCATTATAGGACACTAGGTTGATGTTTTGCCTTACTGTGTCACGTTACGTAGAAATATATGCGAGTGCATGGGTACAGCTTCCTATTTGCAATGCTATACTGTACTACCTATTTACAATACTTATAACAATAACAATCGATTTCATAAACAATAGGTGCATGGCACATTTATATTGTTACGAATTTGGTATTTAAAAAGCTAATGTTAGTTTAATTATAAATTAAATGGTTTTATTTCTCGCGCAGTGCAGCGCGTGACGAATATTAAAAGAAAGCTAAGCCGGAAAAATTGAAAATACAAGAGCGCGTGCATTAAATAAATAAATATCTCTTTTTTGATTTCGAGAAAGTACTGGAAAATTCTAGCGCGTGATTTTAAAATCTTATAAAAGGAGGAAAACATCTCAGTTTGTAGTTGCTGCTTAGTTTGTTGTTGTTTAGAAAACTACTGTTGTTGATTGTAGCGAATTCGCGGATTAGCGTTCTTTAGCTGTTTTGAATTACGTTCTATTGGACATTTGAGTAGTTAAAAGAAAACTACTGTGAGATATTGTAATACTGCATGATAATTTGAGAAAATTTAAGCATTTTTGTTGTGATAATAATAAATTTTTGTTCATTTTTCATCGGACTTGTGCATTCATTTCATAACGAACCCGTACGCACGCAACAATATACTACATGAGCAGATGGTACATTGTAGAGTGCCGTTGAGAATAATTGATGTAATTAATTTTATAGTATTTTAAAAATAACGCATTTATACGCAATTATAAGGCGCATAATTGTCATTGGGTACATATACATTAGGCGCATAATACATATACATATTCATATATTAGTTTCTTAATACAGTGCTAGGGGCAAGTAATTGGTGCTGTTATTTTTACATGTTACATGATGCTGTATGCGGTTGGATGGACAAACTAATATATATACTTTTATACATATACACAATTATTTAGGCACATAATCACTAGATACTCAGACATTAGGTGCATTATATACATATATATATATAAAAAGATGGTTCATAATACAGTGCTATAGGAATTAATAAATGCAGTTAATTTGATAGTAAGATTCTAGTTTAACACTATGCGAAACGGCTTCATGTTACACAATGTTAAATACTGATGCATGAATACAGTAATATTTCTACTTGTTAATAAGCCCACCAGCGGCCGAGCGGTAAAGACGCTGAACACTGGTAGTTCGGTCCGAGGTTCGAATCCCGCGAACGGGCTGGTTGCATGGGCGTTTTCGTGGTTTTCCCCATGTGTAACATGTATACGAGCCAGTTTCCCTTAGAAAGTCCTCCACGAAAGGCATCCCTCCCCTTAGTCAGATAGCCCTAGTGTGCTTTGCCATAATTAAAATACATACATACATACAAATACATACATACTACTTGTTAATATATACATATATACAAAAATATACAAATATTAGGTGCATAATTAACATTGGGTACATAATTATTAGGTGCATTATGCATATACACACATAAAAACATAACTACATAGTGATGGTACTTAAGATACCTCTACAAACAGGTACAGATGGTCCTTATTTACATATTGCGATACGGGTAATAGACATAATTCGGTTGGTTGGCATAATGCAAATTGATTAAATAGTAGATTCTTGCTATATTACTAGAAATGTTGGTTAAACGATACGATAATTCACAGCTATTCTGTGGTGTTGGTAGTTGGTGCTAGACACTGAATTACTATTCATCTATAAAGCTGACTAAGTATGGCACAGGTCTGAGTCAAGATCGGCCAGTTTATCCATTAAAATCCCTATTTTTCTAATCAAGTGCCTCTGTTTTATCAAAAACTTACAGAAGGCTTGTCGATTGGTCGACGGAAGGTTGATGTGTAGCCCTTCTGTAAGGGGACAGGAGGTCAGATAATGCTCCGGAGAGCCAGTCTGTCCACAGGCACACTGGCTAGTGTGACTTATTCCGCGTTTGTTAAAGTACTCGGGAAATGGTCCGTGACCCGTAATGTATCTAACCAATTGGATGTTTGCAAAATTTTTAATTGTGTTCATGTAGCTGGCATGGTAACAAGTCCTTCGGCCTGTATCGCTGTTATTCCATGTCTGCTGCCATTTTCCGATTGCCTTTAAGCGCAGTGTTCTTTACAAGTAAGATACTGGCCATGGGATGTTAATTTGTTAATTTGTTGGTCCTGTGGTAGCTTCTTTGGCCAGATGGTCAGCCAACTTATTGCCATGATGGCCGGCATGCGTTTTGATCCATTCAAGTAATGTATGGAGTTGGGAATTTTTTCGCAGATCTTCCTGTATTCCCTGAATAATACTGGATGGGTGGTCAGTGTTTCCTATTGCGTATAGTGAAGAAAGACTGTCTGTCTTTATTGTAGCGTTGCGGGAGTGGTGGGATTGCAGGTTGCGGATTGCTTGCGCAATTGCCACTGCTTCTCCCTGAAAAACGCTATTGAATTGCCTTAGTTGACCCTTCCATTGATCTATGACTGTATCTTGCAGCATGACCACATAGACACTTCCCACCTTTTCGTCTATCTTCGACCCGTCCGTGAAGATGGTAATCTGTGCTGGACGGTGGGCCGAAGTGGGATTGGTAGTTATACTTATTCCGGTGCTTTTGGTGCTGGATGAATTTTCAGAGGGCAGCATTTAGCTTCATAGTCCTCTGGATTAAAATATTCTTCGTCAAAGGTGACAGATCTTTTAGGCTGCAGGAAGATTTGTCTTGCTGCCTCCTCTTCGACACTGATGTGTAGGGGAAGAAAGGCCAGCTAGCACGTTGATCGCGCTGAAGAGGTCGTGCGGTAGGCTCTGGTGATACCCAATGCAAAGGGTCTTTGAATGGTAGAAAGTTGTTTAATTTTCCTCCTTTCCATTGGGTGAGCCCATATTGCTGCTGCATAGGTGACTATCTTTTCCACCACTGTGGTGAGGAGGACCTCCTGAATATGGGTATTGAGGCCCCATTTGTGACCATGAAATAATCGCATTTGCTTCGCTATTGTCACTGTTCTAATTTTGATGTCCTGGATGTGTGGTATCCAGGTCATCTTGGGTCGAACGTTAGGCCCAGATATTTTAGTTGATTGACTATTTGTATCCCCTGATTGTTGATCTTAATGGTTGGTATTCTTGCGAGCGAACCTCCCTTTTTAGGTATTAATAACACTTTGGATTTGTGCTCTGCAATTTCTAGTTTTAGGTTGTTACATAGGGCGTAGAATTGTTGGGACACTTCGTTGCAGGGAGTTTGTAATTCTTCTCGGGTTCGACCTTTCACTATTAGCGCTGCGTCGTCTGCGTAGGCGTAGCTCTGGGTGTGCGCTGGCTATGTAGCTGTTAGAACTTCGTTGAAAGTTAGATTCCACAGGTGTGGACCAGCGCACGACCCTTGCGGACAGCCTCTCGTCTGCTCCTGTTCTATTATGCCTGCGTTGTGAACTGCTAGTAGTCTTCTATCCTGTAGATAGTTTCTTAGCATCTTGTACAGGCTGCTCGGACATTTTACCTTCCGCAGAGCTTGTTTGATAGCCGGCCACCATAATGTATCAAAAGCGTTCTTGATATCGATGATTATCACGGTAGTATGGTGGCCGCTATGTCGGTTCGCTAAAATTGCTTCTCTATAATGTCTAAGAGTGCGTGGACTGTAGAAGTGTCCGTCCTAAACCCGTATTTCCTCGAGCTTAAGAATCCTTGTGTGTGCAGGTGGGGCCAGTATTCCAGAGGTCCGTGCTTCGATTCCCAGCGAAGGCCTTTGATCTCTTTTCCTCTTGTCTGCTTCCAAAAATACCTAATGTCTCTACAGTGGCGCCCGAACTAAAAGGGTGTTGGATGAGAATTCTCCGCACCCAGGATTTGGCGATTGGGTCCCCTAAAAGCCCCAGTCGCTCTTTGAAAAGGGTAGTATATAAGGTATTTCTCTTGCTTTTCTAGCGTGCCTTCGTGGTGTAGTGGTTTTGAACGCTGGGCTGGTATTCCAGAGGTCCGTGGTTCAATTGCCGCGAAGGCGGTTGCTAATTATTCATCTCTCCGGCTTTTCCAATTAACCTAATGTCTCTACAACATCGTTTAGTTACTCTTATGAAACGTTCCCACCAGCAAGCCCGTCAGATATGTCCTGTGACGTGTCATATCGTTCAACAAATTTCAATTTATATTTGAGGACAAGAAATATCTAGAGATGTAGTGGAATTATATGCATAAGTGTTATACTGCTTTTAAATGCCTTTAAAGGTGACTGTAATTTTATTCCAAATGCCGGATATTTCCACCTTCGCTTACGTCTAGCTTATGCAACATTTGAAAGAGACCCAAATGTTCTAACTGGATGCTCTAACTCTCAGTGTATTCCGACTAATAACTTGTAATTTTAATATGTCTACTAGTTGTGAATGAACAAAACTAGACGGGCTTCCACCATCTAAAATGCGTTACTCTAATAATACCTTATAGGGCAGTGATGTAAATTCAAGCAGCTTGTAAACGAGTAAATTTAGAAGCAAATACACTTATTTCATTAGTAGAAGTAACGGGAGGAATTAGAACTGTATTTCGATTTTTACAGGTTTAAACGTAGTATATAAAATATTACATTTATATACACATTTTTTTTTTCGTTATTACACTCAATTTTCTTAAACATCAGCATTACAGTTTGTTACAGTTTTGAATTGCGAGATTCAAAAATTGAATCTAACTCCGCGGGTAGTACTGTCTTGACTAACATCACGAGCAACACTGTCTATCGACAGCCCGGGCAAACTAGGTCGACCAGTCCTATATAATGGGTGCCCTAAGCAACGCTGAGGTTATTTTTGAAGTTGCTGCTGAAATGAGGTGGTGATTCATCGTCCTGGAACCAGATACGTATAAGAAGATGCCATATGTGCAGACATTCAAACGACAAGGGAGACTGCTGTTCTACTAATTAGTTGTGTATCATGTCATTCCAAGTTATTCAAGTGAGTGAACAAGCGCATGGCGTCTATTTCACACCCACTCCATAAAATAGAACTGTCCTCACAAACTATCATTCACTAATTTAACTTCTTCAGTGGTTGTCACCAAGGTCATGTCTTTTATTTTAGATCAGATTTCGAATTTCTAGCTACCTCATTTACTGAATAATTACTTTAATTATCATTTTAGTGTCATATTTACCTCACGCGCATCCTCGTGTAAGTTCAGATTTTTTGTATATAACTTTTCACTAGATTTTCTTAAATTCAACTTTTACTTTATAAAAAAGAAATTTAGTCATTTTTGAATATGAAATGAAACTTATGAGGAAAATCTCCCTTTTCTATGTGTCAAAAGTTATATAATTAATAGGAAATTAGCGACATTTTTATTAGAAAAGTAATTTAGATTAGAAAGGCGTTTGATTAGAATATATTTCAGTGCGAGAGAAATTGAACGTTTTCTATTAAGACATAATGAGCTCACCATCTGAAGAGAATTAATCTGGTTAGACACCTACAAGCTCAATTGAGTAATTGGTGTCTGCTGCACGAGAATGCGACGTTCCACAATTATATTTTCATCAGGCAGTTTGCAGAAATTAAAAATATCGCAATTCTCTACTGCGTTCTTAATTATGCAGATCTGGCCTTTTGCAGACTACTTTGCCTTCCATAAACCGAAGTCTCACCCCAAATGTTTACTTTACTTACCCAAATGTTACTTTAATAGCACTTAAAAACTTCAGTAAAGGTTAACCAGAGACTTTTATGTCAGTTCTTGGAAAGAATCAAGCAGCTGTATTTAGACTTACAAACTGTATATGAAAACTAAGGAATAGGACTATTGTTTTAAGTATCCACTTTGTACATATTTAGACTTCAAGCTCAAGTTTAATTTTATGCGGAATCCTCTCTCATACAATATAAATAAAAATAGATTTCTTTGAAGCATCTGTAAAATATTGGATAGATAAACAGAAATATATTTGTTTTTGAAATAGAGACAATACCAGGAAGCTATGAAAGACAAAATGTTTTAAAAAATGAATACGAAAAGTAAAAAATGCATTTGCATCTTCCATCTATTATGTAAAATACTTTATGACTTTTGCCATTTTACATATATATAATGCTTAGTCACATTCCATTTTCTCAGCTATTTTTCCAGCCTAACGATAAATTTTCAAATGTTATCAAGACATCTTCACTTTGAAGAAATGGTTCCCTCTGCGACGATAAAGCGAAAGGTAACGATTCCACTGAAAGCTTAAAGTTTTGTTCTCTGAATGTAAGAAAAAGGAGGCAACGAGCAAAAAATACAGACAGTGTGAATCATTCAGCAAGCAAATAGCCCATAACCTTAAGGTTTTGGATAAATTGTCTTAGTTTAAACGGTTTCGCTAACTATCTTAGTTTTATGCCACTTCGTTGGAAAATATCCTCGACACGATTTCTATAGCTTCAGAGTAAAACGTTTTGGATATAATTTTTTTTTTACGCTGAAGAAAAAATTCAAACCTTGTTTTATTTTTCAATACTTACCCTGTAAAGGTTTTATTTTAACAGGATTTATTCTCCCATTTATACCTTATTTACGGAAAGTTTCAAAATATTAAATGCCTTTTTGCAGTAACAATAAAATGTTGAAGCGGTTTTAAGTACAGAAACAAATCTATTGCAAGAGTGAATGATCTCTAAATATTTTTTTAGAACATTAAGACATTAATGAGTGTGACTTTAATGCAATGCATCATGAAGAATGAAGCTTCAAGACGTGGATGATGTTTTCATGACAATGAAATGATGGATAAAGATAGGAACTCACAGTTCTGTAAATGCGGCTTTTATTTTCGCAACCATTGGTGTAAATATACGCTACGAGATACCAAAATACATTAAATAAGGAAAATAATCATGTTATGGCATTTTCAAATGGAAAAAAAATTAACAGATACCAACTCTTTATACACCTCCTCACTTTCTACAGTTATTCCGGCCAGTATTCTTTATAGTGGCTACTGAAGCCGATTGCGATACCGAAGAGCCCCGGGCTCGAATCCCAGAGAAGGTATCGTTGTAGCTGTCCGTCGCTTCATAGGAAGCAACGATGGCCGCCTATTGGGTGCCTCTAAAATAAAATGACCACCACTTCTGGCCTTAGAAATAGTCAGCGTCGAATAGGCTAGTGCCTGCCATTAGATTCAAAAAAAATGTTTCCGTAGTTATATTTTTCGAAATGTTTAAATTCGTTATAAAAACAAGTATTTGGACTCTAGTATGACAAAAATTGTAGAAGATATTTAATTTCAAAATTTTAAATGTTTGACGTTCTTTTCGGTTTTTCTTTAGGGGTCAGATATATAATTAAACATTTCAACATATGAGTTATAAACTACTCCGAAAATTGCAATCATAAATTTTCACAATCAGGCAACATGATTTCCTGGTTCTTAACACATTTTATTGCTTTCAGTCTTGTTTTTATTGATAAGGAAACTGTGGAAACTGCATATATTACTTGGCCTAAATGCCATACATACCAAATTTGAATGCCTTTCTTATCTGCAAATGTGATGTAACTACTAATCTGTCCATCAATGACACGATAAAGATTCCCCATTTCTTTCATTCTTACTAAAGAAATAGACATTTATACGCGTTGGTCACGACAAAGGTCAGAAGCGG